TAATGATGGATATGGGTGGGCCTATCTCATGGTGGGTGATGTCTCCCCTGGTATGGTGGACCTGGGTTATATTAAAAAAAAAGACTGAGCAAGCATGAGTAACATCCAGTAAAAAGCATTCCTCCATGGACTCTAGTTCAGTTCCCACATACTGGCTATGACCTTGAGATCCTGCCCTGACTTCCAATGATAGTGTTACCTCAGATGAAGACTCAGATGGAACAAACCTTTTCCTCCCCAAGTTAATTTTGCTCCTGGTGTTTTATCACAGCAATTTAAACCCTAGATAAGATGAAGTAAACCGTGAAATCAGTTTTCTTAACATACTAACAATGCAGTTCAGTATCATTGACTGTAGGTGCTATGTTGTCTTAGAGTTATTCATATTAGTCAACCAAAAATTTTTGTTTAATGATAAATAACTTACACACTTTTTCTTCTGGTTGCCAGCATTCCTAGATTTGCATCCATCAATGTAAATTCTTTATTTCATAGTTTTTGGACAGAATCTTGTTATTTGCTCAGGCTAGCTCAGAACTCATGATGGCCTTACTCTTGTGGTAATTTTTCTACCTCATCCACCCAAGTGCATGCATGGATTGCAGACATGGGTCAGCATTTCCAGTTTGAATATGACTATTTAACATACCTCATCTGAGGGGAATAATTTGGCCTCTGTCCTTCTGGAATTGTTTGTTTCACTGCGCCACGCCATTTTTTAAGTTCCAGCCATATGGTTTTTCATAATGGTGTCCTGGCTGGTTTTGTGTGTCAACTTGACACAAGCTAGAGTCAGCAAAGAGGAAGGAGCCTCAGTTGAGGAAATGCCTCCATGAGATCTAGCTGTAAGGCAATTTCACAATTAGCAATCGATGGAGTAATTCCCTTCCCATTTTGGGTGGTGTCATGCCTGGGCTGTTGGTCCTGGGTTCCATAAGAACACAGAATGAGCAAGCCAGGGGGGAGTAAGTCAGTAAGCAGATCCCCTGCATGGCCTCTGCATCAGCTCCTGCCTCCTGTGTCCTGCTCTGTTTGATTTTCTGTTCTGACCTCCTTCAGTGGTGAAGAGCAATGT